GAACTTGCCATCTGATGGAGCTAACATCATGTGTTGAATGGGTTTGTATATATCATGCCGATTGAATATGATATTGCGCGAATTGTTACATTGAAAGGAATTAATGCATCAATAATGATTACAGGTTGGAGTTATCATGTTGTGTTATATATTTAATGTGAATGCCTCTTGATAAAGAAGATGAAATGACCAGTGGGTTAGCGGGAGTACCAAGATGTTTACTAATGAAAATATGTTTTATAATAAAAGAAAAAAATCTGTTTTTTCCAAAAACTTATGATCGTTAAATGCTTATACGGAGGTGAACGAACTATTGCTCTATAGAAGAGAAGGGAAAAAGGTACATAAATAGCGAACCCCGGTTCTTCTTCACATTTGATTATTGTATCCGGAATAAAAACAGGTTCCGGCGTTAGATTGACGTCGTGTCATGCTCAATTGTTGTTGTGTCCCCAGATTTATTTGCATAAATGGACACTCAAACCTAATAGATATTCCAAGGGATTAGGGACATGGCATTTGTTTCCAAGGTTGGTTGGGACGAAAATTATCAAGAAAGCAGATGTGCTTACCCGAAAAAATGGGAAACAGATTCCCTAGCTCTCGCTGCCTGTGCAAGAAGGAAGCGCAACTTGCCCAGCGAATACACTTACGAAAGCCTTAAAGACTGATTTCCTCTCTTGCGTTCCTAAATGATGACGGGCAGTCGAGCCGAGTGATGAGCTCTCATGGGAGCATTCCGCAGAGCGCATAGATACATGCGGTCTCCGCGCGTCTCCTGATTTGGACCCTGTAAGCTGCTGCATTCTTGGCTCGAGCGGATGCCTTTTCTAATACCCCTGTAATCACGCATCTCGACGCGTGTTAGTTTGTTCTGTCACGCGCCCCATGGTACGAGCGTTCACACTAGTCCATCCTCAACCAAGTAAGAATGAGTAATGATAGAATACCCTGTGTCATAGGCACCATATGCAACTGAGGGTATACTCGCCAGTTCTCCACCCATCGCTCCGATCGAGTTTTCTTTCGCTCGAGCGAGCATTTGGGTTGTTGGCTCGAGCAAGGCTTCCTTGGCTCGAGCGTAGCTTCTCTGTGTCTGATTGCTCGAGCGACCAAGTCTTCGCTCGAGCGAGCCTGTCAGGTTTAAATAGGCAACAGCGTGTTTCAGATCTGTTTTTCATACACTTTCATATTCCAAAACCCTAGTTACGAGTTTTTCTCTCCCTATACACACCTTCTCTCTTAGGATTGATCTACTTAGGGTGTGTTTCTACCTAGATCCTTCATTAAAAAGAGTGTGTGAGTCGAGGGCTTCGTTTTAATCTGAATTGTGGTTGTTTGGAGCACATTGGTATTTGGGCACTCATCTCTGTCTTCACCATTTGGGTTGTTTTCTTCGAGGTAGGGATTTCTACTCCATTTTATAGGTTTTGTCTAAGTTTTGGTATTTTGATATGTTGGGGATACTTTGGAGGAATTTTGGGAAAAACCCTAGTTGTATTATTAAATTAATTTGTATAATTAATTCATGGAATTGGGAAAAGATGGTTAAATTCATGGACTTGGGGAATTTATGGATTAAGTGGCGTAGTTGGATAATTTTGAATCATTTGTCTATTGAATTGTTGACATAGTTATTTTCAGTTTAGAAATAATTGTTTTGGGCTATCGGTGGAGGATAGTCGTGATTGTTGTAGACATTGCATGTGGATTAGGAATAACTGAAACTAATCACATTGGCTAAGTCATTAATTTTGACTATTGCATTGATACCGAAAATATGTGTATTGATTGAGCATTGCATTTGCATACATTGTTTTGTGTGGGAGGAGATAGGGGATGTACTCCACGGTTTAGGAGAAGATAGGGGATGGACCTCTAAACCGGATTTTGTTTGGGAGGAGATAGGGGATGGACTCCATTAGCATCACTTTTATGTGTGCTTATTATATAGAAGTGTTTTATTGATACAGCACTAAAATGTGTATCAATCTGGAAGTATGAAGTGTTTTGATTTGAGCTTGAGTCTCATTTTGTTTGTGATATTGGAAGGATGTGAAATATGATATATGTAATTCACTGTTGTAAGTTTGGCCAGGTTCTGAGCCACTGTTGATAAAATTGGAAAGTAAAACGTGTCTTAGACAATAGTGTCATGAGACTGTAAAATGAAGTAATTGATTATCTTGGTTAACCATTTGTTGAATGCTATTGCTTTATTCATTACTTATTTGTGGTTTAGTATATTTCTGCTGGGCTGTGGCTCACCCTTTATGGGAACATCATTTTCAGGTTCAGGTGATAAGCTACCTCCAAGGACTTAGCTTGGAAGGACTTGGATTTTGAAGACTGTTTTTAGTTATTTGTTTTTCATTGTTAGTACATGTAAACACTCAAGCCTAGGGCTTTATTTATATTTGAGTTAGAACTCATACTTTGTGTCCAAGTGTTGGCTTGGAAAGATGTAAGCCGGTAGGGCATTTACTTTGATGTTACATGTAATGCTTTTGTTTAGTAAGACTCTGATGGACATTGTAATGAATTATTAAAGTGTTTTCTTTAAATAATGCATGTCAATGATATATATAATGGGTTTATTTTTGAGGGCGTTACACCAGCAAATAGGCTCTCCATTTCTGGACAGCCAATACTAATGCTAGAATCTCCTTCTTGTAGGTTGACAACAACAAGTTTCTTCCCTGTAGTGCATGACTGTAAAATGCTATTGGTCGCTCTTGCATTAAGACAGGCCCCACACCTGATCCACTAGCATCACATTCCACAATGAATTTTTTTTGAGAAGTCAGGTAGAGCTAACACTGGAGCTTTAGTCATGGCTTCTTTCAAATTCTGAAATGCTAATTCAGCCACTGATGTCCAAGCGAAGGAGTCTTTCTTCAACATTTTGGTAAGGGGTGCAGCTGTTTTACCGAAATTAGGGATAAATTTTCGGTAATAGCCAGTCAATCCAAGGAATCCCCTTAGTGCCTTAAGCGTGCTGGGCTTTGGCCAATTCATCACCACAGCAATTTTGTCTAGATCCACAGCGACACCTGTATCAGAGATGACATGGCCTAGGTATTGCACCTTATTTTGCCCAAACTGACATTTTTCCCTTTTAACAAATAACCCATGAGATCTAAGTACAGCCAATGCAACTTTTAAATGCTGAAAATGTTCATCCCAAGATTTGCTATATACAAGAATATCATCAAAAAAGACTAAGATGAACTTTCGCAAATAATCTTTAAATACCTCATTCATTAAGGATTGGAAGGTAGATGGAGCATTAGTAAGGCCGAACGGCATTATCAAGAACTCATAGTGGCTGTGGTGAGTTCAGAAAGTAGTCTTTGAGGTGTCTTCTGGTATGACACAAACTTGATGGTACCCGCTACGTAAATCAAGCTTTGAGAATATTCTTGCTCCATTCAACTCATCCAATAACTCATCAATGACTGGAATCGGGAATCGGTCTTTGATTGTGATCTTGTTAAGAGCACGATAGTCGACACACATACGCCATGATCCATCATGCTTTTTAACTAAGACGACTGGTGATGAATAAGGGCTATTACTGGTTGTGATCACGCCAGTAGATAACATTTCCGCCACTAACTTCTCTATCTCCGCCTTCTGATAATGAGGGTAGCAGTAGGGCTTGATACACACCGGTTCACTTCCTTCCATTAAGGGAATCTTGTGATCATGTGCTCGTGGAGGTGGTAGACCTTTGGGCTCTTTAAACACATCTTGGAATTTCTTCAAAATCTGCTACAATGGTGGAGGTTGACACTCAACCTCAACTTTTGGAAGTGGAGTCCCAAGTATGAACAATTGGAGCAACACACCCTTTTTTGATTTTTTGAATTCTCGGCTGAATTGTAGATCCCCAATTATCTGGTCCCTTGGTACAGATATACCTTGGAGAGACAGTTCTTTATCTTCTATCGTGAATTTCATCTGCAACTTTGCAAAGTCCCACAAAATTGGACCAAGTGTACTCAACCATTGGGTTCCCAACACATATCATATCCTTCTAATGGAAGCAAATAAAAATCCACAAGGACAGGTATTCCTTGCAAAATTAATTTAACATTTGTACACTTATCTGGACTGGATAACTTTTCACCAGAAGCAACCACAACCTCAAACTTCTCTCATTTCTCAGGTTGTAATGCCACCTTCCTAGCAAGAATTTCACTAATGAAATTATGAGTGCTTCCTAAATCCACCAAAACAATGGTTGATATGTGTCCAACGCCTCCTTTTACCCGCATTGTTTCTGGTGCGCGTGCACCGGAAATCGCATGCAAGGAAATTTCAGGCACCTCTTTGTAGTTCTCTTGAATAGATTCTTCCATGTCCATAATAACGTCGCCATCTTCTTCTTCATAGTAGGCTTCAATTAAGAACAACTTCTTGCATCGATGTCCAGGAACAAACTTCTCGTTGCAGTTGTAACACAATCCCTTCGCATGACGCTCTTGCAATTCTGTCGGTGACATTCGTCGAATTGGAAGTGTAGCGCTGGTGTTAGTGGTCTCCTTGTTTGTCACCTTCTTCAAATCAGTCATGGGAGTAGTTCGTCGTTGTGAGATATTGCGAGCTTCATACAACCGGGCAAGTCCAATGGTGGATGACAAGTTTGTAGGACGGCCAGATAGTACATCGGCTTTGATCGAGTCTTTTAATCCGCTAATGAAACAACTGACTTGGCAGTCGTGAGGAAGTAGTCCAACTTTAGATAATAACCTCTCAAATTGGGTCTGATAGTCACGTACTGAACCAACTTGTTGCAGCTTCGTTAACTCTCCAAAGAAGTCTTGGAATTGGGTTGGGCCATACCGAGCATGCAAGCCATCAGTAAACTCTTTCCAGGCCATTACATCCTCCTCTTGTTTCAACAATTGATACCATAACTGAGCATCACCCTCCAAGTGGAAAGATGCAAGTGGCACTCGATCTTCTTCCGGTGTTTGATGGAATTGAAAGAATTGTTCCACCCGACACATCCAACTTGTTGTATCACCTTCACCATTAAAGCGAGGAAAGTCAAGTTTGGCAAATTTTGGAGCATATGAATGTGGTGTTCCCGTCTGGCGGGCCCCTAGATTGTTGCCAGGTCGTCCACCATGGGTCTGAAGTGGAGCCACTGAATTTTCTCCGTCCTCGCGCTCCATATTCGCTGGTGGTATGATGGTTTGTGAATTTAATTTGTTGACAATTTCAGTAAGCTGGACCATAATTTGTTGTTGACCAGCGGTAAGAGAGCCTACTTCATTCTCCAAACTCTCCACTCTTTGATCCATGCCCTTGCTCTGATACCACAATGGTACGTACTGGGAAGTGCCCTGTTTTTGTTTCTTGGAACCTATTGTAACAGAGTAAAAAAAACAAGCAATACAATAGTTTGGGTTGACTGAGGAACCCTGACCTCCAATTAAACACAAGTGTTCAATAATAAATGACAACTCATTATTTTATTCATGACTAGCTACTCTTATATTGGCAGCCTCAACGTTCACAACCATGAAATTAGGAAAAGAAGTTAGACCCACTGCTTTCCTTGAAACCAGATCAAACCAACTACTAACAATTATCACTAAAAACTAGGATTACTTACTGCAAGGATAACAACCTAAACTAAAATATTATTTCGGAAAACAATAAAATAACAGTCACGTAATAGGACAAAATTCAATTTGATTCAACTCGTTACACCTATTACACCTAGACTAATATAGAAAATTGTGCTACCTTTATCCTTCTAAAAATATTATTAAGGATCTTAAAATAAAGGACTGGGCTCCTCTCCAGAACTGGAGGGGAGTGTTTGGCATTGTTGGGTCTTGATTCGGGTCTATGTCGATAATTCAAACTGTTCAATATATAGAACTTATCGAGCACATTATTCTTACAAAAAATCATGTTGATTAGATATCGATAACTACTTGATCAGATTATATTTTCAAAATAAATTTCAAATATAATTTTCGAAGTAAATTGCGATAGAAATGCAATAAGATCATGTAGTTATCTATATCCAATCAACATTATTTTTTATAAAGATGATATACTCGACGAATTATACAAATTAAATAATTTAAATTATCAACACATATCCATATTAAGGCCCGCTTATACCTAACACTCTCCCTCCAGTAACTGAAGCAGAGCCATGTCCTAAAATAACAACCCCATATTTATATTGAATCGTTCAGATTTCCTACATATAATGATCATTACTAGGCTTCGATTTTATTATCGTTTTGACTTATGTCGCCTTCCTGCACTATCTATACTAAGCAAAAGGGGATTTTAAACCCCAAAGCCTGTGGGAGCTCCAATCTCCTAATCCTAATTTTCTAATTTTTAAATTTTAAAAAAAAATACATCAGTATTTATTGACTTCTCTCAACCCACATCTCTTTTGACTTCTCTCATAATTATTGCAATACCCTTTTCAATTTCTCCCATACACTATGGTTACACACCAAAAAAATATATATATAAGAATTTAGCTATAGATCTCAAAAAGATATAACATCTAAATTTGAATTACGATTTAATAATATAATTATGTATTTTTTTTATGTATATCTATCAAAATTTTAAATCACTTAATGAGGGGTTTTTAACCCCAAGGCCTGTGGGAGCTCCAATCTCCTAATCCTAATTTTCTAATTTTTTCATTTTAAAAAAAAATACATCAGCATTTATTGACTTCTCCTAACCCAACCTCAACATTTATTGACTTCTCCCAACCCACAATCTCTTTTGACTTCTCTCATAATTATTACAATACCCTTTTCAATTTCTCCCATACACTATGGTTACACACCAAAAAAATATATATATAAGAATTTAGCTATAGATCTCAAAAAGATATAACATCTAAATTTGAATTACGATTTAATAATATAATTATGTATTTTTTTTATGTATATCTATCAAAATCTTAAATCACTTAACGGGACAAATTAATCAATTTTCCAAAATTATTGATTTTTAATTTACAAAATAGATTAAAAAAAACTATTGACTGAATTTATTTATTTAATAACAAAAATATTTCATAATCTCTCCCTCCTAATCTCTCTCACAAATTTTCAAAAAAAAATATTAAAACTTGCATTCATTTTCTCTTCCCAAAAAAATCAAATAATATGTTTTATTAAAGTTATAGATATCTACCTATATTTTACATATTATATTATAATACACAAAAAAACTATAAAACTAAAAAAAAAAAAATCTTTAAAGTTTATCTAAATAAACTTTAAATCAATAAAACTCACATGCCTATCACATATCTAACTCACACCATAACTTATCTAAATAATATTAA